TTCTCAAACAAACGTTCAACATTCACTTAGCGGTTTCATTACATGGCACAAATCCGTACTGCTCTGGATTTTACTGAAAAATCTTCATATCTTGCATTAAAGTTGTCATATGGGAATACCTTTACCTATACTAAATTTGTAAATCTCCAGACCTTACGAAGGTAGAAGCAATTTTGATGGTTCGATTAGCCGGTTTTCTCTTGAAACTTTAATGAATATCGATAATATATTTATATATTGCGAAAATTAAATTTTATTTAACATTTCTTTTTTAATCGATTCCTTATGAGTTTCCTTTTGTTTAACGAATTTAATGTTGTTGAACACTTCCTGATCGCAACGAAGTCTCCATTATAGGAAAATTCAGAAGCAGTTGACGATTGTGTAAACTGTGATTTACCTCTTATAGCGTAAATCACGTCGTTAACAGTTTAGAAAGTTACGAAGTGGGCTATAAATATATTTATTTTATAATTACAGTAGAAATTATTTATTCAAGGGACAGTTTCTAACGCAGGATATCAGCGTGTGATTTGCAAGAGTGACACGCGGGAGATCTGAATGATATTAATTTTGTCCTATGTGAACTTTAGTAGGCGATAAATGTGTCGAAGAAATGAACTTGAAATATGTTAAATAAATTATGAAGTTATGTATGAGAAACTGCACTGCGCATCCATATAGATCAGATGAAAACTCATCAATTGAGAGAAAGATTGATCAATACCGTTTGGCAAAAATTACGGCAAATGAGCGATATCAGCGGATTAGTATTGTATCTTAACTATCGGATAGCATAAAAGGAAAGAAAATGTAGACCTTGCAGCATGTAAAGAGACTGAATAAATAACGGTAAGGAATTGGCGATGAAAGCTAGACATTTGAAAACTATTAAAAATTTCATAATCGGTTTAAGAGATGATCATGATTTTTGGGAACTTCTTTTCACACTCACCATCTAACTCAGAACTTGTCTTGCCACGGAAGCTGAAGGCGACAATGCGACGCAGCAGGAATAATTTAATTAGATTAATCCGAAGCTAAAATAAGCCTTCAAACGAAGCGAAACATTCGTAATTTCTAGCGATTCAACAATCATTGTAAGCTCCTTAAGGGGAGGATCTTCTTAAAAAAACTAGCTTCTTTATTAATGGACCGATCTTTCTGAAACTTTGTACACCTATGTAAAATATGTGTGTACCTTTTTTTGCACATAAATGCAATCGCAATCTTTTCGGACGAAGTTACGCTAAAAAAGATAAAAACGTGAAAATTGAAATAAAACGGGGAAATTGAGATAATTAAAAAAGTTGTCTGCCCGCACATTTTCAGAGTTACAATTTTGGAAAAAATAGTGTTATATAATTAGAACATATGCCGATCGACTGAAGAGCCCATTGATAAATTTGTTTATAACTATTATTTTTTATTATATTTTAATGTTTTCGCCCTTCTCCCGCCCCTCCCCCAAACAACCCTACTTTTTACCATATATTAAAAAAATACAAAAAGGATGATAGAGTTGACGAATATTTTTACAACGAAGCAAATGGTCTTTTCCTCAATTTTGTAGCTCATGAGCGGAAGGAGTTTTTAATTTTCAGTGAGTTATAGACATTTGCATTGTGCAGGAAAGGCAATAAACTGAAACTGATTGCAAGGCAAAAAGTTACGATGGATGATGGAAAATAATTGCTTGTCCCTGGACCCTCTTTCTTTGCCATAGGACCATAACTTTTCATTGAAGAACAATACTAGGGCTCAAACATACCATAATATCGCCCTTGGCAGTAGCTTCTAAACGCTCACCCTTCAAAAATTGCACGATTTAACTGCAGACCTCAAGGTGTTCATTTGTACTTACTTCCAATTCATTTCAGGGTATCGTTCGAGAAATCGAAACTTAATTTGTCATTTTTTCCGATGGCTTAACAAATAATCCGGAAAAAGTAATTCATAATGACACATATGTTTATTTTCTATTTATTGTTCTAACCGAATTTGTTTCTCGGGTTTTATTTATATAATTCACTCTCTAATTTCGGGTGATATGATATGAACAATAGGTTCTTGTTCCATTAATTTAATTTATTCACATTCTACAAGAGATTTAAATCCACGTCATCAACAAGCAACTGATAAATTTTTGTTAAATAATATTCATTCCTTCTAAGTGCAGGAATGAATGGTGAATGACGTGAATATAGCCTTGGTCTTTTCCTCTCCTTTGGTGAAGGTAGCAACATCAAGAAGTTTGCCACACACTCAGATGCAAGAGGATATTCATCGTTCATGTTAGAAGAACATTTTCCCCATTATGGTTTATACAAATGTTGATTGTATCTGATTATCCCATCTCTATACCACTTGCCCAGTACACATGGTGTAGGCCCAAACATTCATTTTCAATGTATATAGGCGGTACTTAAAAATTTAAAGGGCCGTTAATGTTTTTGAATGAAACACAGGAAGGCAAACGAGTCTTAAAAAGTGTATCGCTATTTAGACAAGCGCTTGACTCACTAAAGTGACTCATTTCAACGCAATCATTTCTCTCAGTGATACTCACAAATCGTCTATATTGGAAGCCAGTTTTTACCACGCCGATCTCTGAGTGGCCTTGGACGAACGGGGTCAGTGAGTACAGGGTAGACGCACCTATATTGCGGTAGAGAGTTAAAGGGGTAAAATCTACTCTCTACTCCATAAGAAATCGAGTGAATGTGAACGACTTTTTGTGTCAAATTTTTTAACCATTTGCTGGATTTGTTCAAAATCTACTGCTGTAAACTAGGCATGAAGATGAAGTTTCGTGAGATTATTTTTAACCATACTGAATTGGAAATTGAATATGATGGAGGTTTTCTGAAAGTGACATGCTGCTCAGCTATTATCGATTTTTGGTGTGTAAATCAAACATCAATGTTGCGCTCAATTTGACGTCACGCATTTGTCAGTTTTATCCAGGCTGTGGTACGGTACGCTAGGCTCGTTTGGTCTCATGAGATTTTTCCGGAGCAATGGGTGCGCCTTCAGGATCCTCAAGCCCCAAAACGCTCCTGCTGAGCACCCAGACCCAGCTGACCGAATCGGCATACGCATGTATCCTCTGAATGGAAGAGGTAGGACTGCATTTTATTTATAAACGGAGATAGGACAACGTCAGCCAATACTGAACCATTATTACTTGGACTGAGCACGAGGAAATAAGGAGGCAACGGGAGCCAATAAGGCACCATATCATGGACTGAACTCGAGGCAACGGGAGCCATAAGACACCATATCATAGACTGAGCTCGTGGCAATCTGGGGGCAACGGGAACCAGTAAGGCACCATATCATGGACTGAGCTCGAGGCAACTCGAGCCAGTAAGACACCACATCATAGACTGAGCTCGTGGCAATCTGGGGGCAACGGGAACCAGTAAGGCACCATATCATGGACTGAGCTCGACGCAACTCGAGCCATTAAGACACCACATCATGGAATGAGCTCGTGGCAATCTGGGGGCAACGGGAGCCAGTAGGGCATCATACAGTACCATGAACTGAGCTCGAGGTAATCAGGGAAAAACGGCAGCCTGCATGACTGAACTCGAGGCAATCAGGAGGAAGTGGAAGTCAGTAAGGCTCCATATCTCGCTTCGAACCCGAGGACACCAGGGGACAACCAGTGCAGATCCTGTATCAAATTATGGACGGAACTCACGGCTATCACACACATTATTTATTTCAGCCAAGTTACGGCGGAATTGAGGGCATAAATGAAATCATTTAATTTTAAGCCACACAAGTTCAACCAATGATCTGCTCATGATTCCTACCAGTGTATGCATTCGAATGTGAAATAAAAATCTTCATTGGACGCAAATGGAAAAGGATGAACGAAACTTATCACAGGATGGGAGCGATGACGTAAGATTCGTGAACACGTTAGACATAGAAAACAATAAAAATATAACTCAATACTTAAGGCAGTGAGTGACAGAGAGCGCATTTTCTCGTCGACGAAAACGTGAAGTCACGGACAGACGGACGGACAGACAGACAGACGGACGTGACGAGCACAATACCGCTTTTTTCCATAAATGGGAAAATGTGCTAAAAATTATAAAGGTTCCTTAAACTATCAAAATGTGGCTCGCCAAAGATGTAGCCCATTCCAAATATTTTTCTTCGAATTGATCTAGTTTTATTCACCCAAAAAAAAATCACTCGCTAGCATTTACGCAGGTGCGGGCTGACAGAAAATGGAAAAGTGATTAACAGAAAACTAGCCGACACTAACTGATATAAAAACGTCTGAAAACTATGCTACATCTCACAATACATGGCTAAGTTTGTGAAGATCCATAACATGGACAATGAGCATAAGAAACGCATGAATATACATGCACAAATAAATTCTGTGATCTGAAAATAATATATCAGAAGCAATTCAAATTTTTTAACTAAAATCACGCGTAAAATAAAAATAATAAAGTATACAAAATCAAAATAATAAACTTATTTATCACGAGTCAGAGCAAGGCCAGATGGAGAGTTGATGTGAAAATGAAACATGGCGCATTTGCTCGAAAAAGAAGCCAGCCGAGAAAACCTAAAATTTTAATAATCGAGGAAACGACGCGAGACAAGAAAATTTATTGAAGAAGGAGCGGAATGTTTCCTAGCGTATGCTGGTTGCATGGTAGAAGTTTTTGAAATGATTCGCTAGGTCCTGCCAGTTCATTGAAAAGGTATAAAAATGTGCACTATTTTTATACTTGATTATTTTGTTAGTTATTTGTTTATGTTATTTATATTATTATTTATTCATTTCATTATTATTTCGATTAATTTTTATTTTTTATACTCGCAAGTTCTCGCAAAATACATAGATAAACTCAGCCTAAAAAAGTAATTGAAAATTAAACACAGAACTAGGTACCAACAATTTTACATACGGGGAAGCGTTTCAAACAACTTATTCTCAATTACTTCCTCTGTTTTTTGTTCAGATTCAGCTGTAAATGACGGAGCGTTTAATGGAACGCATTGCAGTGCAGAAACATCTGGCAGAAATATGGAAACTTCGAACTATCATGACGTCGAAGAAGAAGATAGGTTAGACTGCGTTTACGATGTTTTTGGGAAAACTGCTTTCCAGTCCATTTATTACCTGAACTGTTTGGCGATGTTCTATNCCGCCGTGTTCCACGCGTACAACGCATGGTAGGCGTTTTATAGGGAGGCACTCGAATACCGGTTTTTTGCAGTTATTGCCCCTGATAAATTATTTATACATGACGCGATGCTAACCCTCGATATAGGTAAAAACGCTTGCTACTGGTGAAACGGCGCCTAATTTTACCTGCAGGCCTGGTAGACTGAGAACAAAGAAGAGCCCTAAAAAAGGAAAGCCTTTTGTAACCTCCTCCTTCCATGTAGGGCCGCGAAGTCAAACATTTGCAATTTGAAACTGGGGGATCAAATAATTTCAGAGTAATTTTGTTTCGAATTATATTTTGAAATAGAATAATGCAATTAGTTCCTAATTTTTGTAATTCATATTCAATATATATAGATATCGAACCAATTTTCGCCAAGCTCACTTGAATCCTGATTGAATATCCTAAAAATATTTTCACTTGCAGGAATTTGACTTGCATGCAAATCTATGGAGATTCTTCATCTTCGAGAGTGAGAATTGTTGATCACTGGCCTAAGCGATCCTGCTGATAAGCAGCTGCAATTTGTTGTGTAATGATCTATGAAATTTAAAAATTTTTTTTTTTTGAACATTTTATCTTTTGCTTTTTCGTGTTAAAGAAATGAACTTGTTGAGATAAATCCTTGCATAGTAGCGGCTGGGGAGGGTAGTGTTGAGTCCGTTTTTCAGGGCAGATGGCCAAAGGTAGTTCCACGACCATCATTGGCTCGCTATCCAACCCAAGCAACTTTTTTCTTACACAACACCTCGGGCATGCCAAGAACTCGTTTACCAACCAGAATCAGATAAATGGCTTAGTTGGCCATGAGATGATCTTCCTTTCCGAACTTGTACTCCTGAACTTAACTTAAAAGACTAAGTCTCTCACCCAGTATCATTTGGAAGCAAACCTAATAACTATATATTCATTTCGGCGCACTTATCATTGGGATCGTCGAAAAGAATGGCAGGCCTTCATTTAAATGTAGGTCTCGATTAAAATGATTTTAATAATTTGAAATTTCTAGGTCCAAGTCTGAATTAGAGATAGAAATGAATTTTCAGAAACCTTAAGGTACCAGGTCGTACAAGAATCCTTAGCTCACCTCTCCATGGAGTCAAATGTTCCTCTGGCATGTAGAATAACCAATCTCATAATTCGTGTCTGCATACGCCCTTGCTGATATTGCGTGAGGATTTCGTGAGTGTATTTTAGAGGATTCTTATGAGCTTATAAGCCATGCTATTCAAACTTTTTTACAAATTTAATTAAAGTATTTGCCATGATGTTCCATTGGGCTCCTCCAGGGCATTAGCACGAGCATTTTCCAGCGACAACTTCTTCTCTCACGAAGTCCAGTCCATGACCGGCCGACGCTTGGCTCTGTTTATGCTGCTGTTCACGCTCATCCTCTGGTGCGCGTACACCATCGGCCGAGGGGTCAACTCTGTGATGGGAGGTTAGGGTTGTCCTGATAATACTTTGAATTAACTTGTGGCATCCATTAAATACCTAGACTATATTTTTAGTACTTCAAAAAAGCCGTACATCATTATATGTTACCGGATTCCGTAACATGTGATCGTAACTTAAGAATCTTCACATGATTGCCAAAATTTATCGTCTTCTATAAATTGTTCTTATATAGCGACTGGCCGCTTACAAAATTTCGTAAGCCGACTGTGGTCACGCAGCTAGACATTATTAAGGGGAGCGCCTGCCCCAAATTATATCTCAGTTATTTATCGACGGATCGATTCGAAATTCGGTACACGTATGTAAAACGGAATTCTAAGATTTTTTTGTTCGTGTAAATTTTCAAAAAAAAAATGAAATAAAACGTGAAATTCTTAGAAAACGGACAATAAGGGGGTACTGTAGAAATTTCCTAAAAAAATCTCCTCCTAGGATTTTCAAGCTACAACATCGAGATACATATCATTCGATGCGTAAATACCATATCTAAACTGATGCATACGGTTTTTTGAAATTCTCATTTTTGTGGGTATGGGAGCATTTTTCATGAATTTTTCGGAAATTTTTTATTTTATCCCCGCCTTTTTGCAGAATAAAATCCAAACTATAACGAAATTAGAAAAAATGTCTGCATCATTTGTAGATCTTTTATTTGCAATTCGAACGGTATATCTCTCACTGCTGTAGCTTCAAAACTCCAGGAGGCGATAGGTTTGCTGTGACAATAAGTTGACTTTTCAGTAGAGCCCGACAAATTCGCGCGCGCCTCGAAATAGACATTCAAGGGTGCGAGGTTGCAAGACTACACGATATTGGAGCTTAATTTCTGTCAAGGATGGTGCGAACGACGGCACGAGAATCATCCCGTACGACTGCAGGCAAATAACTGAAGCTCAGCGTGCTCAGACTAGCTATTTAAGTGAGCTACCGGTAATTTCGGCCTATCTTAAAAGTTAAAGAACTCCACCACCCCTAACCCTTTCGCGATCGGTCGTGAACGCATAAATCAACGTACAGAAATGGTTTCGGTACCGTTAGATGCGTCAGGATGTAAGCTTTAAGATGAGTATAAAAACCGCATAGGTCAAAATTTTCTATTACAAGACAGACGCTCCCCTTAAAACAATCCTGTTAAACTTCTTGCAATTGTTAAATATAGAGATTTAGCTCTAGTAAAACATAATTAAATGAAATTGTAGTGCAACTGAACGAGGGACGGTGGATATATAGAGATGCTTGATGCAGCCTTCGCTGGTCACCTTCATTCTAGAAAACAAAACCATCCCAAAAGTTTAAAAAATAAGATCTTCGGTTCTGTGTGTATATAAATTTCCCCCAAACTAACAGATCATAGTTGAATGTACCGTAGAATATCTTATTTATAGTTACTCGCCTATTGCATGTTCTGAATAATAGCAAACAAAAGTGTATTCAATGTGTATTAATGCTTTTAGTATATGCAATAACGACTAAAAACGTGTCTAGATATTCTGGTCTAGCATTCAAATACATGGAGGCGTGTTGGCAACGAGAGGATTTGTTCTGTCCCATCTTTAAATAAATTCTGCAATGTTCGAACTTTCGGACAGTGGAACCATCTCAAGTTAGAAATCTAAAATAATGCAAGGGCTGGGCCACGAGGAGTAACTCAAAGCTTTCGAAGCTGACAATTCACTGCACCCTTTTTAAAATTGTCTTTGAGGCTAATAATAAATAAAATTAGTATTAATAATATATTAATAGAGTAATGTTTGTGATTGATTAGGCCAAGTTGGCCTGTAGCCTTATCCTAGCCATCCAACTTCTTGCTGATTGTAACCAGAATGTTCAAAACTCGTTGAGGGTTTTGAACCTCATTTCGCTGCTTCATTCATGCATGATTATCTTTACCATCACAATTGAGCCATGGTTCGAAACGCGCTGGAAAATTTACTTTTTTATGCATTACCGTACATATTTTATATATCAGACTAATAATGATAATTGAAAATCCAGGTATATATAATAAAAAATAGACAAATTTGTAAAGGGACGCCTAACCTGATTAGGGCATTTGGCACACACATTGCTGCCAAACTTCCCTTGCACTAGGCGGTAAGACGTACACGTCAAACCAGACCATCGCATCGGAGCCAAACACCCACTGCATCTCGGCTAAATTCCGGCCCAGTGCCGGCCGTGCGATGCGTGAATCTGTGAGGAAACATGCCCTTTTGAAATCAGATGACCTCTACATTTATTACCATCCATCATGCATACTTAAGCATTGTTTTCACTTACAGAAGTATTTAGCCCCTGCAATAATGCTGAGTGGTTAGAAGTTACGGAAGTTTGTTGTACATGCAATAATGTTGCCTTCGTGCACCATGACAGAATCACTGGAATTTTTTTAAACTGCAACTCAATAACGAGCAACTGCAAATTAATTCATATGCAAATTAATTAAATGTTGGTTCTTACATCGTTCCCATTGAAATCGTTCTTGTTCTGTAACCGAGCATATGCGGAAGTACCGACTCAAATTAATAAAGTTTGCTGCTCATATCTGCTGCAGCGCATATTCTGTCATTTTATCAAACAACAGGTCCAATGCAGCGCATAACTGAGACCTGTTGGAGCCATAACCAAATTATTGGCGCGCTGCCGAGAACTTCTCAAGGAATTGTTGTTTCCTTCGTTTGAACACAGAAGAAACTTTCGGGCTTGAATAAAAGAAATTTGGAAAATTGCTTGAATTATACGTGCGCTTCGCGTCTTTAAGTGACTGAAATGGTTGAAAGGATGAGTCCATTGTTTACTTAATTTTAATGTTTTGAGTGCGGTACTATACCCACCGGTGTGTTGCTGGGTCTCTTTTTCCAGGACAAGTTCCGTGATTTACTTTTTTCAATTACGTTGGCTGGCAGAAACTTACGATAGCGTTACTTACTTATTAAAATTTTAATCATGTACAAAATGAATGAAAATGAAATTTTTGCTGCGGAACCTAGATATTTATTAGTTAATATTGAATTTTAGGCATTTTTCCGCGGTACTGGCCGTTTTTGGGCCATGTGGCGACCCTGGTGGGTCGTAACACACTCAACGTGTTAATTTATACATGTCTTGAATATGTATCACCATTGACTTCGTTTAATCAATTTTGAGCAATTTACAATTTATATTGCATTATTATTCGAAATTAGAAATGCTTATTTATATGGCAATAAATTACGCAATAAATGTGCAATTTATTATGTATTTTTCAGCTTGATTTCGCATTCCTTGTCGATGTAACAGAGAAGTTATAATCAACATTTTTTTCTCATGCAATATAAAAATTTCAATGAATTTATACATGTCTTGTCATACTCTTAGAACCAATTGAGTCTAGATCCAGAAAAAATTGATATCCGTGATAATTCCTGAGTCCAAGGAAAACGAGAAAAAATGCGCAAAAACTCGTACCCTATCGCTGTCACTTAGGCTGGGTTGGCCATACTGCCGGCACGCATTAGTAAGCACCGCTTGGCCGGCGAAACATACGAGCCTGTTCGTGTGTAGTATGGGGAGTCATTTTCTGTAAACAGAATATCGTGCTGTGGGTTTTACGTTTTATTTGTTTATAACAGCTCAACCCGGTTTTGTTAAGGATAGCTAATTCCTGAGATCGGGGAATGAAATTCGTCTATAATTCGTTTTATCCATACTTTATTCCCTCTAATCCTATTTCCGAATCCAGTTTTTCACTTTCGTATACAAAATTATATTACAAAAGTACAGCTAACTGAACAAGACATGTCCTAACCACTATTTAGTGTCGAGCTCCCAATTAACACCCGTTTTACAATTAGATGCAAACTTAATCTTCAGGATGCAAATAAAATGTACCAAATTGAAAATCCCATTTCAGCTTTTTGATCTAATTTCTAACGTTCTTTTAAAGATTCTATCAGTTAATATGAAATTTTGGGTACATGCATCCTGGATCCGAGTCCGAACAGGCCTCTATATACCGTATATTTCCTACTTCGGGCTTCACACACACCAGCATTCCACATGAATAACATATCAAGTAGTATTATTTGAATTGGAAGGTGGCATGTTTTATAGTGATTGTCTAAGAATCGGAAGCACTGGTTGCGGATAGAATCGACTGCATTACCATAATAACTTCCATTTGCAAACGAATGTGTCAGAAGATGCACGCATGACCGGAGCTCATTATATTAAACTCAATCTGAACATAGGGTAACGTGACTAAGGTAGTGAGGAATAAGTAAGACACATCTGTCCAGATAACGTATTTTGTATACGGGGTGGTAATACATGAGTTACGATACAAAGGTATAAGCTACGGCGTCGACCGTAAGGTCGGAGAACCGACCGGCACGGAGCGCTTATCAACAACTGCGGGATGCCTAACTTAAGGTTGCAGCCCTTTTATAGGCTTCTGGCTTCCGCCCACTACTAATTGGTCTTGTTCGTGTGATCTATCGCGTGTCTTCCAAATCGAGCAAAATATAACGGATAGGGCGCACCTTCATTTAAGTTTTGTTAATTAACTGAAGAGTAAAGCCAGGTCAACATCCGAGTCTGGCACGCCAGCAGGGGCCATACATCCAAAATTAGCTAAGTGATTGTTACTTACGCTCTATTTTCTTGTCTATGATTGGTGGATTTTGCTTGAAAGGCCGTCAATGAGTGGCAGATGAACTTACGATTTCTTAACCTCTTTTTTGAAAGTATGGGCCCAGGCTGGTCAGCCTCCGTGACAGTCTGGCACGCATTCACAGGACTCTGCGGTTGCGCGGACTTACATCTAGTTTAAATGTAGAAGCTGCCGCGCTTGGCCAAAGCTAATGGGTATTCTCCCACAGAGACTCAGGAGGTTATGCACAAATGGGAAGAATTTGTCCTCTCTTGACTGCAGTCCAGTAACTTGCAACGAAAATTGCGAAGCCAAACTTTTGTCATGGCCGCTTGAATTAGAGGAACGAAAAT